TCTGGGGTTATTGCCAGTCCCAAGTCCTGAAAAAGGAGGAGGGTTGATGATTGAGTCAGCAATCCTATCCTATAGAAAACAACTATGCTAAAAAACGTTAATCAGAAAAATAATTTAAATCATTTAATGTCTGCCCAGTCTGGGTCCAGAAGCTGTCAGATACATTCTAAGCGAAGAGCTGTGTCGAACAACGCTGTTTACTTTTCCCCTTCTCTTTCTTCTGGTGGTCGGTAGGATTTCCGAGATATGTCTGGACGATTTGGACCTTGCAGATGACCTAGCTCTTCTATCCCATACAGTGCAACAAATTTAGGTGAAGACAGCTAGTGTAGCAGCAGCCTCTGTATCAATAGGCCTCAACATACGCAAGAGAAAAACAAGATCATGAAATACAACACAGAGAACACCAACTCAATCATACTTAATGGAGAAATTCTGGAACAGGTGAATTTTTACATACTTTGGAACGATCATCGATAGACAAGGAGAATTTGATGAAGATGTAAGTACACGGATTGGCAAAGTAAGGACAACATTCCTACAGTTGAGGAACATATAGAACATATGGAACAACTGACAGTCAACATCAAAATGAGAATCTTCTATACGAACGTCAAGTCAGTTCTACTATACTGAGTTGAAACTTGGAGAACTACCACAACCATCATCATAATAGTAATATACTGAATGTTAGTTGACCGGATGCCATCAGAAATAGTCCACTGTGTTAGGGAACAAACTAGCTTCCATCTGAAGTGGAAATTAGGAAAAGATGTTTGAGGTTGGTGAGACATATATTGTGGAAACCATTGGATTGGATCATGAGACAAGTGCTAACTTGGAATCTTGAAGGTAATGGGGAAAGCGGTAGGTCAGGGAACACATTGAATGGTGAATTTGAGGTAGATATCAAAATAATGAATGGGAACTGGAAGTGATTGTTGAGATCAGAGTTTGATCGAGAATGTTGGTGTTTGTCGTATGCTCCTCCACGAAAGGGAAAAGTCCTATGTAATTTTCGGACTGACAGGATTATTGAGGATGACATTTTTATTTATAATGGTGGCGAAATATAACAATAATATAATCGAACTTTATTGATGTTATGGGACAAAACCTGACCATATAGTATCGAATTATTTGCTTTGAAACTAAAGTGAAGAGATGGCTTGTGTTTATTTTTAAGAAATAAGTTTTATTATGTGCCGATGAAATCAGCAAATAATAAAATGTCAGTAATACTAAATGGTTAAATGTAGTGGACAGGAAACTTTGACACTTAGTTTTATATTGGTTGACATTGCTGAATATGGTGTACCTAGAAATTTGGGTGGAAATACAATTTCCTCAGGGACTCACACCTGTATCACTTAGTGTTATATCTAGAGAAATTATTTTTCGGTTAACAGATCTTTGACTTTTCCATCCACGACTGATATGTCTCTATAAACTCGTTGTTATGATTCATTTGATGTTTGTGATTTTTTTCTATAAAAGTGTTACAGTAAAAGTCAGGATTCTTCGTTCCATTCGCTACTTGACAACTGGATGTGCTTGAATCCTGGTGTTGAGGTTCGCATAAAAAGTCCTATCAAAGAATCAATTATTGTGAATGCTAACGCGTTTACCACCAAGCGACTGTGTCCAGACTCACTCCAGTTTCTCGAAAACTTGATTTTATTCGATATACAAATGTTAGTTATTAGTGAAATCTTGTTCAATAATCAACACCTCCAGTTGTTACACGACAAAGGTAATTTTTTATGAGATTTTGTAAAACGGAAAAAGTATTCATTAAAATTCTCTATTAACCATTTCATACCTAGTGCTTTTGATCATTTGTCTGTTCAATCAGTTGGTGTCTACTGCATATTAGTGGGTAGTTTTCGCTTTGACTGACTGGATTTATTCAAAGCCCATTCGCATATAAAATATGAAAAACACAAATAGAATACATATTGAAGTTTGAAATGAAATCTTGAGTGAAAATTGCACTCTACTATGTAACACCCATACACTAATTGAACGAAAAACTAGTCAAATATGCTGGATAAAAAATAACGGGCTTGTTGAACATTTTAAACTTGATGGATGACCTTAACCATTTATTAATTTTGAAGACGTATATTTTTTAACATACAAACTCATTTCTTTGGGAGAGACATAAACCTACTTCATCACGTTTATAGAGATGACAGTGAATTAGTTTTTGTTGTTGTTGAGATCTTCACAATAAATCTTAGTAGTTTCGTGAAAACAGTTAAATATATTAGGAATGTTTTGTATAAATTAATGCAATACACCATGTGTAACAATCTGATCACATATGGACATATATATATATATATAACCATTCAACCCTTGATATTGGAAATTAAAATCAATACTGTCAGGATAGTTCCGATTGTGAACTATTTTTTTATTATTATACAAAGGAAGTTTTGAATTTTTATATAATTAAGGTTTTTCTCATTTTAAATACTGACCCTAGATACATTTTCTATACATTGTTATACTGGTTACTTTTTCGATTGGTCATATGATTTGTTACAACTGGATGTTAATTATTAGAGGAAGGATAGGTGTTTAGTTATAAACTATCCTAACTTGGACAACACGATTATGCACAGTTACTTATGAATAGTATATTATAATTCGACAAACCATGGTCTTTTTTTCAAGTATGGTGAAATGGACAAGGTAATAATTTAAACGAATTATCGATTCAAACTTCATTTTCAGGCAACAATATTTGATTCATCTCTTATTGGCAGGATAATTTCAACTGGAAATTGTTTGAGTAAAATGTAGTCGATTCCAATATTATATCTATTACTGTACAAAATGTCATGGAATTAACGAATTAAGATTCAACGTTAGTGCCGAAGTTAACCAATGCATTATTTTCTTGCTACGAGGAAGATGCTTGAGGTCTGAAATATATGCCACAACTGGGTAAATGTGACTATGTGGTACTTTTCGTCACATCATAGTTAACTGTTAATGATTTTATGATTACGCTTACAAAGACAAATATTTGGGTCGCCGATGTTTTGTTAATTATACACTCAGTGAAATTAATAGACTTGTTTGTAGCAAGAGAAATGTCTACCGGTGTGGTCAGGCTTATTTATTAGGGTAACTAATTACCATAATAATAGTAAGCAGTTTGTGAACAGTTTACTTTTCAGAGCACAAATGAAACTGAATCTTAGAACCGATAATCCAGAAACATCTGCATTATTATTTCACGGAACTCCAACAGACGCTAAATTTATCAGAGATTCAATAGAGTACCTACAGAACATGTTATAATAAGTAAGTCTGAGGACGGAAATATGATATAATGTGATAGAACTGCACGAAGACTAATCCTTTTCAACTCTGATGTAAACAAATGTAACATCACCGATGTTAACAAATATTCTAGCATGAACCATACAGTAAAAAGTTATTATTTACGATCGCAGATTAATGCATCTATTGCTGAAGATGTATCATTCTTTAACAGATTTTTATTCACCATTCACTATATTCTATGTTAGCTTCGTAATAAAAACAACAATAGTATTGACTAAATTTAATTTTAAAACTAGTTTATATTTATAAATTATCTCAAAAAGAGAGAGATTTATTATTAATAGTTATTTGTACTCTTCATCACCTTTTCTTACAGATTAATGAGTGAATATATGTTAATAAGAGCTAATAAATACCCAGTTATATGTTCAGATCTGAAACATCAGTTTAGGGTACATGATAGAAACTGTTATACAGAATATGGTTTAAGTGACCTATTGCATAAAACTCACAAGTATACTATAGGATTGAAAGGGTTCCATATAACTGATAATTCTATACAGATATATCTCATTATTTATAATGACAAAATAATGTCTTATTTACTGATATTCATATTTTTTGTTAAAAATCTCCTCTTCTGTAACTTATCTTTTGTAATACAGTGACTGGTAGATTTACTAAACATTGAACGTGCTAAGTTTAGTAGAATTAACGGGGAGACTATAATTTATGGTTGATCTTCGAGCGATGCCAAAGTGACCTCGACAGTGTCTACCTACTTACTATGGCTAAATGAGAGTTCTAAAGCAGTTTGAAGAATAAGGATTATGATTCAGTTGACGGTTAGGGTTAAGAATAAAATTTACGGTTTTTCATCACAAGATGCTATTTGACCAAACGCGTAGGTAAAATTTCGTGTCAAAATCCAAATCTTGTTGTTCTAAATCTGATTGGTTCGCTCATAAAGTCGTCGAATTAATCTTGTTGATTTTTAATTGAGCACTTCAATTTCAAATGTACATTTTATTTAGAATTAAGTGAAATTTTCTTGTTTATTATTATTTTGCTTAACTCTATGATAAATTAAATTTACTTGGTAATGTTTGTTTGAATCTTCCCATCGATGTTTAGGATTGCAATCGATCAGTCTCTTATTGGCATATGTACATACTGTGCGTATTGTCTCGATATAGCCTTAGAACTCAGAAGCTAAGTGAATAACGCGATGACGCTTGAAGCGAACGGTACTACGTTCGAGTCCCAGAGTGAACATCAACTCTGAGACGCAGGTACATCCAGCCGACGAGTCCTGAATAGGGCGAAATGCGCGTCCTGGATTCCACTACTAGCCACTGTCCATCTCTGCATATCTATGATGAATTGTTTATCGTTCAATATACAATTATTAAATTGAAAATATACAGTTTAATTAAGGAAAAATTTATATTTCAGCCAATACCAAGTATGTATATATATTGTGAAGAGATAAAATGTAATACATAATGACTGAATGTTACATTGATCTTTTTGCAATCAGTTGACAGAACTTGTTTCAATGTTTAAATTGTAAAATTTAAGCGGAATTTAAAAGATTAGTACGCTAATTCATTTTTGCTTTTGTTTTGTGTTTAATAAATGTAAAATCATCTCGTGGTACACCAGAGATTGTGTTTAATGTCAGCACAATTTTATCAACTTCATTCATTATCATCGTCACTTTCATCATTACTATCACCGTCACTATCGGTTCCTTCCGAGGCATCTTCATTTTCTGAATCGGTTTCACAGTCATCTTCATCTGATTTCTTTGTTTTACACTTCTTACTCTTTATATCAGAAAGATTTAAATGATGCAATACTGCACCGGTAGTACTTGGTTGTTCAGTTGTTGTGCCTGTTTCATTTGCACACATAGTGTTAATGCAAATATTGGAAACACTTTGTGTTTCGTTGTCGGTAGACTTGGTTTCTGACTCATTGATGTTGTTTGTCTCAGTTGTTGTGATGATTTCGGTAGGTTCTTCTGTTGTATCAGAGATAATTTCATTTGTGTTAGTGAACACCTTGCAAAGGTTATCAATTAGTTTCATCAAAGGAGAAGGATATTTAGGTGTTTCTGTAGAAGTTTGTGCTCGAATATCAACACTTTCTGAAGTTGACTCTAAGTGAGAGTCATCAGTACGATTTTCGTCAACGCTATGGACCTGTGTATAAGGGGTTATATCTGAGTTACCAGTGCTTTCTGTCTGATTTTTCAAGTCTCCTGATGTTAGACTAGTCAACTGTGTGTCCATGTAAATGCCAAACTCTTTACAAAGATCACCAACGGCTACTATCAAAGGAGAAGGTGCATTAGCATCTGTAGGGGCTTCTGTATGGTTATCAAGATTTTCTGAGGTTGAATCAGATATAACTGTTTCTGTATGATTTTCACCACTTGTCACAGTAGAAGTGCTTTCTGTATGATTTTCACCACTTGTCACAGTAGAAGTGCTTTCTGTATGATTTTCACCACTTGTCACAGTAGAAGTGCTTTCTGTATCATTTTCACCACTTGTCACAGTAGAGGTACTTTCTGTATGATTTTCTGAACCCTCTGCAATTATCGGAACAACGATATCATTCTGAGTAGTATCAGTTTCTGTCGTCAGAGTAGAGGAAACATCTGAGTTGTCACTGCTATCTGAATTGTTGTCAGAATTTCCTATCGTAGATTCTGGAGGATTTGAGGTTAAGTTGACAACAGTCTCAGTGTTAGCAACGTCAGCCACTACAATCGACTCAGAGGAATTCAAGTTAGATGTTCCTTCTTTATGACTGTCTACGTTTGTGGTTTCATTCAAACTATCAACACTTTCTGCAAAAACATCAGAAACGATTGACGGCTCTATATCTTGTCCAGAATCAGTCTTTCCGATGGATGAAATTTCATCTGTAATGCATTTCGAAAGAAAACGTTTGTTGAAGTTATTCATCTAATTCAATCACATGTTTAAATTTAACATTTGTCAGTGTTAACAATCTCAGCAAATCCAACATTCAATACATTTTAGAATAAACCTCAAATGTAATTTATACTACTGATTTGTCCAACTTTCTCACTCTGCCTTTATAGTCTGGAGCAAATCACTACAAATACTCAGTTTATTAAAACATTTCAGTCAGTAACTCTCAATATCATTCACTGATTTGAGTAATGATGTGTTTAAACAGAACAAGAGAAGGAATGACCAGTTGATTAGAATGTTGATCTCCCGTTAACTTGATTATGTGAATAATCGAAGAAGTGTTCTAATATATCCTCAGTTTATCATTCTACTTTCTCAATAATTGAGTTCTTGTCATTTTCTTTATTATTTTCTAGACATATTTGACTGAATATTGAATAAAATATGGGATGTTAGATAGAACTAAGCATTCGATATTATAGTATTCTTACTTTATTCTTGATATTCTTACTAGCTAGCATTGAATTCTGTTGTGAAACATTAATCTGTTAGATTTCAAGAGTATTTATAAATAAATGAATTACAACTTCTTAACTATATGATTTCTGTCAGAAGGGGTGTTTTTTGTGTGAATATTATCGTAATTTCAATAGTCGGGATCATGAGTCAATTGAAGCTAGATAACTATGGGAAACCTGGAAGCGCTGGACGTCCATTTCAGTGACTCATCATCTTAACTATTGAAATTACTATGATATCCACAAAAACCCCTTTTGATATTAATCAACATATACTCTCTAGTGACTGGCTTCCAGAGGTATTTCATGGAGTTCTAGTGAGTAACAGTGACCAATGGAGTTCAACCGGGTCTGTTGTGAGATAGTGATTCACTGAAAACAATGATGGATATGTCGTTCAATTTCATGGATTAGTTGAAATTAAACATATGATTTCTGTTAGGAAACAAACATTGTACACATAACATTCAGAATTTAATTAATATTTCACACTGATAATAATATCAGTTTGTTGTCTAGTTAGTTTTGTATCATTATTGTTATGTATCATGTAGATTTATATGTCACCAGTTAATTGATATTAATTTAAATATTGAAAAAGAAAAAGGAATATTCATGATAGAATCACTTAATTGAAATTATTCTTACCTTCATTTGATTTCTGTAATAAACCTGCATTCACATAAGTTAGTAAGCATAGAACAGATAATAACTGAATATATGTAATCATTGGAATCAATTTCATTGAATCTCTTTAATTCAATTAAAGAAATAGAAGAACATTATGAAAGACAATGGTAAATTAATTAAATGACATCATTTCAATTATACTGTCATAAACCAATCATTTATACATTAGTTTAATATGGATAAGTTAAACACATTATGCTTATGACCAACAGTCATTTTATTAAAGTGTTATAAAGTGTCAATATGGCGAGTTGGGTTGGGGTGGTCTAGAGAAATTTATTTGAGAACTTATTTATTTATTTTTTTGATTACTTATTCTTTCCAGTGAGTGTCTTTTGGAAATCTTTGAATGGTAAATTTTATCCATTTGTATTCAATAGATTTTTATGAAAATCGTCAACCAACTGTACATATCTATCGAATATAATTGTTATTCAATAACATCCAATGATTTCTTTTATTAATTTTTAATGGAATCAAAAATATCCTACAATAACTATGAACAACATGATGATGATGATGATGTAATACATGAATGCATTTTTATTGATATTCTGTTCTCATGATTTTGAGTAAGCTGAAGATCATTCTCATAATATACCGATATGATTGAGAATAATTGAAAAAAAAACCAAAGATAATTGTTTGGTTTGATGTTAAAACTAAATAGAACAATTAGTATAAAAATTGACCTAATAGCCTAAAAGTTTTATAGCCAGTTCAATGAATTTACATAATTTGTACAGATTTGAGTAGATTGTGTAAATATGACTGTTTGGATTGTAGATTTGCAAATAGTCGAATAACTTCGGAAAATATCATCTTATATAAAAAAGTTATGATATTTAAATTAGTGGCAAACTAACAGACTAATAGAACAATCTATGTAAAGTGTAGTTTTGAAAATATGAAAATGAGAAAAGTAAAACACTTTGTTAATAAACGATAGCATCGTAATCCTAGTTAATGGGTAACATCATTTCTTACTCGAATATTTTGATCAAAAAGATGGAATATGCTTTAAACCTTGTATTTTACAAGACGTTTATAGAGCATACATTATGTATAAAAGGTTAAATGTGTTATTCTGTATGATTACAAAATACAATCTCTCAACAAAATGAGATCATGCGATCATTTGAATTTATAGGATAAGGACACGAACTAGTAGTTTTGACTACAAAACGTTTACTGTAATTCTATTTGCATGTTAACATAATTTGATAGAGAATCGAAGTTTCACATTTCTAGACGATATAGATAGGTATATGAACATCATTTAGAATGTGTATTTTATTCAGTTTTCAACATTTTACTTTCGATTCTATCATATGGAGTTGGCATATTATAATGGAAGTAATTTTTGCGTTTATCTACTTCAACTTTTAATTTATCGCTTAACCATTGTGAAACTATAATATAGTTCAGTGTTTGTGAATGAATCAAAAATAAGAATATGATAATTTTAACTAATTACTATGTGAAATAGTTTTTGGTAGTCTCATAATACTTATTATAATACTATACACTAAAAACGTTAAACGAATATTCAACTTACCACTAAGATAATAAGTGCAATTTGGAATAATGAGCAAACTGAGGATGATCAAACGTTTATATTATGTTGCTATGTACTGCCATTGGTTATTTGTCAACCAATCATAATCGTTTTTAATTGTTTCAGGTTCATATTACCAAATATAATGCACGCAAGGTCACAATTATTTTTTTTACTATACAACGGGGCGCATAGAGATTTTATTTCAATCTGAAATGAATCCAGCATTATTTATCATAATTATTGAATAAATAAACCAAATAGGTCAAAAATTAATAAAAGTTATTTAATTCAATTCTGTTTGCTTGATTGCAGTACAAAACCCTTAGCACAAACCACATATTAATACGAGCAATTTTCTGGTTGTTATGGATTTTTATTGTATGACTTAAAAACAGATTTGACATAGGTCAGCACAATATTGATTACCTGTCATTTATGTTAAAAATCAGTAAAGTGTTTCAACTTGCTCTGTCCCTACTCTACCTCATTTTATTGATTGAGATCTTTATTGTAGTGATTAGTTGTACAAAACAAACAAACACATGAGTAAATAATGTGGCCAATTGTAGTAACAATAAAACTGAATTACTTGATACTAGAAACAACTATAATTTCTACGATGTAAATTAGAACACAGAAATTGGTACAGATGGAAATTTCTTATAGACCCTTCAAAATATACCTACATTTTTTGTAACAGTGCATAGCTGGAACTGGATACTGTAAACTATAAGTCCCATGACTTAAGTCAGAAGATAAAAACAACAGATAAGGATTTATTTGACACCGACAAAATAATTAAGTGAAACCACTATTTGAATAGTTATTATATGGGAAAATTATATTTGAAATAATCACAGTGATTGAAATTTAAATAATTTTAACGTTTCGTCCTGCAAACTTGTCTGGACTTCTTCAGGTTAAGATCATTTTTCGCAAACTCATTTTTTGGCACAATTTACATTGATTGATAGCCAGATATTTACAAATTAAAGGGAGTTGTATAAGACATCGATAAATCAATAATTTATTAGATAAAGATAAACATGTTACGTCATAAAATCAACTATCCACTAAAAAAAAGTAGATATAATTAAAGGTCAGTCAATTCCATAGGTCAATGACATTTCAGTCTTTGATCAACAATATCATCAAAATATAAATTTGATTAAAACAAACCATCAATCGGTTCATGATCTCAATCAATATATTATAATTTGTTTATTTTTATATTCTACTCCTTGGTAATGAACATCTAGAACCTCAATCGAAATTGAACTTATAGTTCATCATTTATCTCATTAATTTTACATCTTTCAGTTTTGTATATTTTGTTTATTTTTTTCAATTTGAGTTACATGACTATCATTCTTTTCACTGAAGTTTAGAGATAGTGATTACAAAAGGGGGACCTGTGTAATTGTTAGAAAATAGTTAGATGAATGGAATATCATAAGATATTCTAAATAGTTCTACTAGATCACTATAAGTGCTACTAAACAGATAAAGACATTCTATCATGTAAACTTAATACTACTGAGTCAGGTATAAGTATTTTCTTATTTCCACATTTACTTCCGTTTAGTATAGTATAGTATAGTAGGAGTGAATAAGATTTGACAAATATAGGATGATCCTATAATGACTGATTGCTTTTATTCAAAGATTTTTACAAACTATTGTATCATAATCATTTGAGATTTATTAGTTCAAAAGTTATTTCTTCTTATTCATACTTTACTGTTTGTTTCAAAGTATATTTGGGATTTAAATTTTAAAGTGAGTGATGAATATAAATCTACATATATGAATACATTAGCCATAGTTTTTCTATGAACCCTTTCATTCAGGTTATGGTATAGATCACGGAAAACTTCCACACAATAATTCTTGATTTTCAATAATACATATTAGATTAGAATAGTAATTAGTAATCGTATTGTGTTTTTGGTTGAGATCATGAATCAATTGATGTTAGACCACCGTTGGAAACCTGGAAGCACTGGACGGCCGTTTCGCCCTAGTATGGGACTCCTCAACAGTGCGCATCCACGATCCCGCACCCCGCGGGATTCGAACCCAGGACCTACTGGCTTCGCGCCTGAGCACTTAACCATTAGACCACTGAGCCGGCATCCAATGGTGTTAGTGTCTAACATCATGTTGTTGTTTATTTCCATTTAATTCTCTATTGAAAACATGACACAAATATACGTTATTTCAAGTCCTACTTAGTCATCATGGTATGAATGTATCGTTGGAAATGATTCAAAAGAAAAGTCACTATGATATTGTTATCATGAAATTTGAGATATAAAATTTTTAAAAAAAACTGAAAGTGAATTATTTGGTCATTTATGTGTTACTTCGATAAGTGATACTTTAAAACAAAGATCGAAGTCGTTCAATTCAGTTTATTTGAACTACTAATACATCAGTTTGCACTTGGTGTAAATCATCTATTTTATTCGTTTTAGGGACGATAAGTAAACTATTCCGATGTTTACAGGTTTGGATTGAACAAAAGTGAATGTTTGAAAAAGATATTTTCTACTATTAAATAAAATAGATATTGATCGAGATTAACTTCTTATCATTGTGACAGATCATACTTGTAATATGTAGAGCAATCAGTATGTAACCGTTTGAGATTTCCGGCGTAAATCGAATGGTTATTTGTTGAGTACTTTAATTAATAGACCATCATCTTGCATTTCCATAGATAGGACTCTTTTTCATCATTTTCTACAAACTAGACATGGCCACTCTTTCAGATTCAAAATCCCTACACAATTAGTAATTAAAACTTATCAACTTACTGTTTCAGTATGTGAGTTTTGAATACTCTGGAACGTTGTAGTTAACTGACATTAGTCAATCTTGTGTGGATCAAATAGTATATTTTACAATCTTTGACTTCATCTGTCTTAACTGTATGTTAGTAGTAATGACCTTAAAATTTATCTTAATGAATCTGTTTGATACTTTGTGTTGGGACAAGATAAACGCGAAATCATATGCAAATTTAGTGTGATATTTAATTTGTATAACGTTCGTTTTACTTTTAACTCAGTGTGATATCCATTCAGTTTATCATTCATTTTATTTCACTGATGTACTCAGTACGTAGTACATAGTAGTATAATATATATTATGTATGCTTTTATTCGAGTTATTTAATATACAATTATTGTGGAAGATATTTCAATTGAATAATAATAAGCAATGAAAGAGTTATTGTTTGCTAGAACCAGATAAAATGTGAGGTCATATTTTATTTGACTATGATGTTTATTCAGTATAACATTGTATTTGTATTTGTATTAATTGGATAGAATATCCATTCAGTATAACATGTAAACTTGTTGTTATATTAATTGAAGGGAAAAATTCACTTTTATATTCCCACTATTTCAGTAATGTAGGCGCGACTACAATTTATAGACGAACCAATCAGATTTAGGATACCAAGTGTTGGATTTGAGCGCGAAATTTATTCATCCATATGACGAGATATGACGCGATCCCAGCGGAGGAAGAAATCAGGAAGAAGCGCTGGAAGTGGATAGGTCACACATTGAGGAAAGCACCCAACTGCGTCACAAGACAAGCCCTCACATGAAATCCTGAAGGCCAAAGGAGGAGAGGAAGACCAAAGAACACATTACGCCGAGAAATGGAAACAGACATGAGAAACATGAACAAGAATTGGATGGAACTAGAAAAGAAGGCTCAGGACAGAGTGGGTTGGAGAATGCTGGTCAGCGGCCTATGCTCCATTGGGAGTTACAGGCGTAAGTAAGTAAGTAAGTATATGACGAGATAGAGTTTCGACATTTTTGCTGATATACGTTTTTTGTTGAAGACTCTAAATATCATTCCGAGCCCTAACCATTAACTGTAAATCCTAATCCCAATTCCTGACACTAGTTTATAGCCCTCATTCAGTCCTAGTTAGTAATCAAACACTCCCAAGGTCACTTCAGAGTCACTCAATGCTCGTCCATGAATTTTAGACTCACCAATGATTGTCGTGTAATGACAGGGTGAATAAAATGTATTTCTATCTTTAGTCTACATCTCCTCCCTTGTGTAGTGTGAATTTTAGTATTTCATGTACAAAGTATCAGTTCACATGGCTGTAACTTTGTCAAAAACCTGTTGAATAATCTTGTAACTTTTCGACAGAACCAGATGGAACATGTGATATGATTAGTTTCGCTAAGTAGAATTATTGATAAATGTTGCTGTTTTGTGTACTAATTCTAGTTATTGCTAACCATTTGATTCATGTTCTGATTTTGTGAAACATTTTATGTATAATTATTTATCTGATTATTTTTCAACTGAATGAATGAAGTACACAATGAAATGTGAAAATCTTGTAAGAGACATATAAATATCAAAATGTTTATCGATTTTATCTACATAAAGTAAACCTACACTTTTTAATTTTTTACAAAAGTACAATAGTAACTAAGTACATTTTGACAATGAATTTGATTGTTCATGACTAGATGAAGTGGAGAGTAGTTCAATGTCTCCATGTCCTCTTAATATTATCATCCTATGTTGAATAACATTCTCCATTACATACATCCTAATTCTTTTCGACATAATTCATTAGAATTTTTTAGTCGAAAGTCTTAATTTGTTAAAATGCAGTTTAAGTGACATTGTGATGATGATGATGATGATGATGATGATGATGATGATGATGATGATGATGATGATGATGATGATGATGATGATGATGATGATGATGATGATGATGATGATGATGATGATGATGATGATGATGATGATGATGATGATGATGATGATGATGATGATGATGATGATGATGATGATGATGATGATGATGATGATGATGATGATGATGATGATGATGATGATGATGATGATGATGATGATGATGATGATGATGATGATGATGATGATGATGATGATGATGATGATGATGATGATGATGATGATGATGATGATGATGATGATGATGATGATGATGATGATGATGATGATGATGATGATGATG